TCCCTGAGTTTCCCCTCCTCACCTAATCCCTTCGGCTGATTGCTCTTCTCTTTGGCTCCCTGGGTTTTACCCCTTTCTCCTGCTCTTCCAGCCTGCTACTCTGTGCTTACCTTGCTCCCGGAGACCTGGTCCCTCTTGGGAGGGTAACAAGGGAAAGTGTTCAGTGCAGATCAGTGAGTAAGCACCAGCCCACCCGTGCTTACCTTACTCCCGGAGAACCGGTCCCTCACGGGAGGGTAACAAGGAAGCTGTCTGAGCATTAGTGACTGGGTTTTACCCCTTTTTCCTGCTCTTCCAGCCTGCTACTCTGTGCTACACCCGTGCTTACCTTGCTCCCGGAGACCCGGTCCCCCTCGGGAGGGCAACAAGGGAAAGTGTTCTGTGCAGATCAGTGAGTAAGCACCAGCCCGCCCGTGCTTACCTTGCTCCCGGAGCCCCGGTCCCTCTCGGGAGGGTAACAAGGGAAAGTGTTCAGTGCAGATCAGTTAGTAAGCACCAGCCTGCCCGTGCTTACCTTACTCCCGGAGACCCAGTCCCTCTCGGGAGGGTAACAAGGGAGCCGTCCGAGCCCTAGTGACTGAGTTTTACCCCTTTCTCCTGCTCTTCCGGCCTGCTACTAATATTAAGTATGTAAAATATTAGAACTCTACCTGTTGTATAGAAAGTGGGAAGTGGAATTGCCGTATCAAAGAGTAAACACATAAAAAATTTTGATACATATTGTCATATGTTATGTGTATGTCATCTATTAATAGGGCACTAAAATACCCCTTCTAAACATTGTCAAACTTTCTAACTTCTGCCTGCATTTGTACTTTTTCTTTTGAAGCTTGTTCCTAGCTTTACTTTATTTTTCTGCTGGGTTGTTAGGCGTTTTACTGTTAATTCTCATGACTTTTAATATGCAAGGGGCAAAATCCCTTTTCCTGTTTCAAATCTTTAAATGTGTCCCCAGTTTTTACTACATGATTTCTGTATTCAAATTGATATTCAGAAAATTTTTTTTTGGAAATATTTTATTCTTCGTTTTCTCTTTTTTGTCATCCTTTAAGAGAATTTTGAATTCCCAAAACCATTAATGTCGTTATCCATACAGTTTTTAGTACTTTGATGGTTTTATTTTTCACATTTCAATTTGAGGCCCATTTATAATTTATATTATATAAAGACTCTGGTGTAGCTATTTAGCTCTATTTTTCACCCTCCAGAGTGACTGGCAGTTGTTTCAGTCCTACCAAAACGTTAAAGAAACTTCATTTTTCTCTACTGTTATCTTAGAGAGAATCATGTTTTCTGAAACCATGTTATTGAACTTAACAGAGTTGTTTAACGTATTTAGTGGGTTTTTTTCTTTCTTCCAAGGGATTGTATTTCTCCTTCAGAAGATGAAACCATCAAATAGAATAACCTTTGAAACTGGGATTTGTGTTTCATCCATACCTTTGTGGCAGGTGTTTTTTCCGAGATCATTTTTGAAAAGGCATCCTGTATTTCTCCTTCATTCCATGCCTTTTTCTCCCACAAAGATGCATCTTAATTTTAAAAAGATGCCATATAATGTATAATGTGGCATCAAATTGACTGTGACCTGCGAGGCCCATGTTACTTAAATGTTTATGGTTACATTTCATAGAGAAAAATTCTTACTGATCAAATTATTATTTATTAATTGTTTTCTTTTTCTTTTAATTGAGGAAGTAATGTTTATACAAGATAAAATATCCAAATAATGCAGAAAGGATGTATATTAGTGGTAATGTTGCTCTCTTCAATCTAGTTCCCTTATCTCTATTCTTCAGGTATTTTTAAAAATCTGTTTAATAATAAGGCCAAAAGTTTTTATTAAATGTTACCTTTTTCTTTCTTAAATCACAAATAACTTCTTACTGTTTATGTGTGTGTGTGTGTATACAGCTTTCTGTACATTGCTTTTTTCATTTATGGTCTATAATGGAAGTTTTCCCATGTGACTACATACAGGTCTGTTTCATCATTTTTGATAGTTGTAGAATATTACACTATTTGCCTTATTTAATTAGTTACAATTTTGTGGACTTTTTTTTTTTTTTTTTAAATAACACTGTTGTGGTGAATGCCCATAAGCATACGTCTTTGAACAAGTGTGAACATATCTGTAGTATAAATTCCTATATTTGAAATTCTTGGTTTCAAAATAAGTGTTCTTAAAATTTTAATAGATATTACTAAGAGGTTATATACATTTTACACTGGAAGCAGAGTATTTGTGAGTGTTCAACAGTTTACAATCTTATAATTTTGTAACAAACTAGGTTTATGTCTGTCATTTGGTGATACTGATGCATATCGGGACCTAGATATGTTTGTTTGGATATGACCTATGTGTTTAACGCTCATTAATCCTCCATGACCTGATAATTTTTCTGTCTTTCTAGTTTCATATCTCAATGTTTCTCTACATGTACTTTACAAAAAGTTATTTCATTTGTTAATTCAGGCATGTATTAAGTATACTTTCTCTGATTTTGTAAAAATTTCTTAGATTCACAGGTTATTAGATTAGCAAATCACTTTCACCTTTAGTTTATAACTGTATGGTGTTACCAACTAATTCTTCCTATTGATCATAAAAAATATCCCTTGTGCAGTATTTAGTCATTTATATTTACTTTTGATACACAAAATTAGAACTGAATCAAAATGTTCCTGTGTTTCTTAGGAGGATAACTGGAAGTTATCTGAATTCTTCCTCTTTTTATCCCTGTTAAATATATTCATTACTTTTAGAGTCAACAGTAAAATAAATCTAAATGCAAAGTGAGGATACTTTGGTTCATATCATGAAACCGTGACACACTGTCAGTGTAACTGTGGGCAAATCATGTCACTTCTCTAAACTCAGTTTTGTCATGTGAACTTATCTTTTATCAAAAACTTAAAATGATGTTTGCCTGTTTTACAGCTTGCTGTGCAGATTAAATAAGATAATAGAAATCATGTAGCAGGGTACTTGGATTTTTGATAAATATGCTTTGGATCTCATGTTGTTGAATATAGAAAGGTAACTTGGTAGAACATCTGCCACTTTTTTTTCCTAAAAATTTATCTAATTTCTTCTAGGTGCTGCTTACAACTGATAACAGATAGACCTACAGCCATTCAAGAGGAGCTAGATCTTATCCAAGCACTTGGATGTCTGGAAGAATTCGGGGTAAAGATCCTGCCTTTGCAAGGTGAGTTTTCTACTTAGTCTTGCATTTTTAACTTATTTTGTTAATTTACTACTGTTTTTTAGTGTTAAGGATATTAAACAGATATCAACTGTAGATATTATACCATTCTATCTGCTTTTTAAAATATTCATATTGTTTTTATAACAAAATTAAATTTTTTCAAGTGAAGAGTAACTGATCATTTATTCCACTAAGACTAGAGTTTCCTATCCCTGCTCCATTCCTTCAACTGAAATCTTAAGTTGTTTTTAGGTGCTGTTGAATTGGTTTTGACTCACACTAGCTTATGTACAACAGAATGACCCAACACCCAGTCCTGCATCATCCTCATAATCATTGCCATGGTTGAGTCCATTGTTGCAGTCACTGTGTCATTCCATCTAATTTAGTGGCTTCCTCTTTTTTGCTGACCCTCTGCTTTACCAAGCATGATATCCTTCTCCAGGGACTGGCCTTCCTGAAAATATGACCAAAGTACTAGAAGTGAAGTCTCACTGTCCTTACTTCTAAGAAGCATGCTGGCATTACTTCATCAGAGACATGTTTGTTCTTCTGGCAGCCTGTGGTATATTCAGTATTCTTTGCCAGCATCATAATTCAAAAGCATCACTTCTTTGGACTTCCTTATTCATTGTCCAGTTTCTGCATGCATATGAGCCAATTGAAAATACCATGGCTTGGGGCAGGTGCAAAGTGACATCCTTGCTCTTTCACATTTTCAAGAGGTCTTGTGCAGGAGATTTGCTCAATGCAGTATATGATATGATTTCTGACTGCTGCTTCCATGGATGTTGATTGTGGATTCAAGTAAAATGAAATCCTTGACAACTTCAATCTTTTCTCCATTTATCATGATGTTGCTTATTGGTCTAGTTGTGAGGAATATTGATTTTTGATATTGAAGTATAGTCCATACTTAAGGCTGTAGTCTTTTATCTTCATCAGTAAGCGCTTCAAGTCCTTTTCACTTTTAGCAAGCAAGGTTGTGCCATCTGCATATATCAGGCTGTATTGAGTCTACTTCCAATAATTATGATGGATTCTTCTTCATGTAGTCTAAATTCTTGGATTATTTTTCAGCATACAGATTGAATAAATATGGTGAAAAGATACAACTCTGAAGCACGCCTTTCCTGATTTTAAACCATGCAGAATCCCCTTGTTCTCATTCCATGCAGTATCCCCTTGTTCTCTTCAAATGATTGCTTCTTGATCTATGTACAGGTCCCTTATGAGCATGATTATGTGTTCTTGAATTCCCATTCTTTGCAGTGTAAGTGTAAACCCCAAATAAAAAAATAACGCCAACCTTTTACCATATATATATTTTTTAAGTTAACATTTGTAACATTAAAAAGCAGCATTAGTAACAAACAACAGTTTAGTTATTGCATAAAAGTAAAATATTAAAGTGGATATTATGAATGAGAGTTTCAGATTAACATCAGTTCAGTTTAGGTGTATAGATTATTTCCATATTTTGTTTCAGTTGCATAGATTTATAAGTAGCTATAAATGTTAATGGAAGAAAGACCTGGTATTCTACTTCCAAAAAACAGCCAATGAAATCTCTATGGAAAACTGAGGTTTCATTAACATCCACACAATTATGTTTTTGGTAAATGTTTACACAGCAAATTAGGTTCCTGTTGACAAGTTCTACACAAACTGTTCAGGGATATTAGTTACATTTTGTACAGTGTGTCACCATTATTTTTAATTGCATTCTGATTGTTCTGTTTCTAATACTTTAGTTACCTTGCCCCCTTATTTTCTCAACATTGTTTTAAAGTAATTGTTCAACTTTTGGTCTCATGGATAGTTTTGTGTAGGAGTACCATACTCACAGATACTGTATTTTGTGGGCCAATCTGTTACTTCTCACAGGGGGTAGTTTGGGTTCAAGATTTAAATAGTATCTCATGGTGATAGTCTCAGGTAGTCCTCTAGTGTCATCTGGTCCAGTAAATAGGCTTTTTAAGAATTTCAATTCTGCTTCATGTTTTCATCCCATTCTATCAGGATGTGAGTTTGTGTATGTGTGTGTGTGTGTGTTTGTATGTATGTGTCTGTGTATCTGTCTGTTGCCTAATCTCTTCAGCAAATGATTAGGCACCCATAACTTTGGTCTTGTTTCCTGAATACACTATCTGGATAGGCTGAGAATTTTCCAAATCATTAAATGCTAGTTCTTTTTTGTTTAACAGTTCCTTCCTCAATTTATCTCTGCCACTTTATAACAAGGAATTACCTTTCCTCCACTGCCAAATAACATATTCTTCATTTACTGCTAAAACCTTACCAGAAACACCTTTAAAGTCAATATTTCTCCATCGATCTATGGTCAGCTGACTTTTGATAGAGGGCTGAAATCCATTACCTGGCGAAGAGATGGTCTCTCTAACAAATGCTGATGGCAAAACTGGATATCCATTTGCAGAAAAATGAAGCAAGATCTGTATCTCACGCTATACACAAAAACTAACTCCAGATGTATCAAAGACTTAAATGTGAAACCTTAAAACTATAAAGTTCCTCAAGGAAAAGCTAGGGACAAATTTGTTGTTGTTGTTAGGTGCTGTCGAGTCGTTTCCGACCCATAGTGACCCCATGCATAGCAGAACGAAACACTGCCCGATCCCGCGCCAGCAACACGATCCCTGCTGTACTTGAGTCCATCATTACAGCCACCGTGTCAGTCCATCTCGTTAAAGGCCTCCCTCTCTTTCATTGACCCTCCACCCTACCAAGCATGGCATCCTTCTCCAAGGAATGGTCCCTTTTGACAACATGATCAAAATACGTGAGATGAAGTCTGGCCATTCTCGCTTCCAAGGAGCATTTTGGGTGCACTTCCTCCGGGACAGATCTGTTAGTTCTTTTAGTAGTCCATGGTACTTTCAGCATTCTTCGCCAGCACCACATCTCAAAAGCATCAACTCTTCTTCGGTCTTCTTTATTCATTGTCCAGCTCTCACATGCATACGAGGCTATTGGAAATATCATGGTTTGTGTCAGGTGCACCTTAGTCCTCAAGGAGACATCCTTGCTCCTCAGCACTTGAAACAGTTCCTTCGCAGTTGACTTTCCCAGTGCTACACATCATCTAATGTCCTGACTGCTGCTTCTATTGGCATCGATTATAGAACCAAGCGATGTGAATTCTTTGACAACCTCAATCTTCTCTCCATTTATTGTGATACTGCTCAATGGTCCAGTTGTGAGGATTTTTTTGTTTTCTTTATATAAACAAATATGTTTATATTATGTTACTGGGGGCAAATTTAGGGGCCCTAATTTATAGCATAAATGGACTGTCAAGCATAGCCCATAATGTACAAACAGCAGAAGATAAATTAGATGGATGGGACCTTCTAAAAAGTAAATTTTTATGTGCCTCCAAAGATATCTCCAGAAGACTTAAAAGAGAACCTACAGATTGGGAAAAAAATATTCAGCAATGACACATCTGACAAGGGACATATCTCTAAAATTTATAGAAAACTCTTAACACCTCAACAATAAAAATACAAACAATCCAATTATAAAATGGGAGAAGACATAAATAGACACTTCATCAAAGAGGATATTTAGGTGGCCAACAAACACATGAGGAAATGTTCACACTCATTAGCCATTGCTGTTGTTGTATGCTGTCGAGTCAGACCTGACTCATGGAGCCATCTCCTGGGGTTTCTGAGAGAGTATCACTATGGAAGTACATTGCCCAACCTTCCTTCTGAAGAGTGGCTGGTGGATTTGAACCTCCAGCCTTCTGGTTAGCAGTCAAGTGCCTTAGGCATTACACTACCAGAGCTCCCAAATTCACTGCCATCGTATCGGTCCCGACGAATAGCGACCCTCACTTGGATTTCCGAGGTGATATTGCTACGGAAGTAGATTTCCCAGCCTTCCTTCTGAGGAGTGGCTGGTGGGTTTGAACCACCAGCCTTCTGGTTACCAGTCAAATCCCTTAGGCAGTACGCCACCAGAGAGATGAAAAATCAAAACAACAGTGAGATAACATCTTGCCCCCCAACATTAATAGCAAAGTTCAGTGTGACAGAAAATAACAAATTCTGGCAAGGGTGTGGAGAAAGTGGGAGTCTGATACACTGCTGGTGGGACTGTCAGATGGTACAACCACTGTGGAAATCATTATGGTGATTCCTTAAAAAGTTGGAATTAGAAATACTGTTTGTTCCAGCAATCCTATTACTAGGTATATACCCTAAAGAAGTGAGAGCCAGGTGAAGAACAGAGATATGCACACCCATGTTCATTGCAGCACTATTTACAATAGTCAAAAGATGGAAAGGACCTAGGTGCCCATCAACAGAAGCATGGATAACCAAACTGTGGTACATACACACAATGGAATACTATGCAACACTAAAGAATAATGCACAATCTGCAAAACAACGTATAACATGGATGAACTTGGAAGATATTATGCTGAGTGAAATAAGTCAATCAGAGAAGGACAAATATTGTATTAGTTCATTATTGTAAATAGGGAAAGGTTTAAATATGGAAGGAAACTTTCTTATTTGGTTACTAGGGGTGGGAGCAGAGGACAGGAAGCACTGAAAAAATGAAAATAAAAAAATTCTAAATAAATAAATAAATTTATAATGTTCACATTTCTACCAACATGCTGTTTCTGATGATACAGGTATTCTCTAAGATGATAGAAAGGAGCCTTGGTGGTGCAGTGTTTAAAGCAGTCAGCTGCTAACCAGCAAGTTGGAAGTTCAAACTCACCAGCTGCTGTGTGGGAGAAAGATGTGATAGTGTACTTCCATAAAGATTTGTAGCCTTGGAAACAGTATAGTGTGATTCCAACTATCAGTTGGAATCAACTCAAAAGCAGTGGGTTTGCTTTTGGTTTGGAAGATTAATAAAGCTTTCGCAGCCCTCATCAATATCACCTTTAGGCTATGTTTCTAGTAACTGTTTTTTTCAAGACTATCTAGGCTTTTTCTGTCTAGCACCTTCAG